CGATGTGAGCCTACCTATATTGACACATTGTAGTCACCCAAAGTCCACAGTTGACGTTAGGATTGTGCTCTTGATGCTGTATATTCTGGGTCAGGCGAATGTGTAATGACATGTATCCATCATTCTAGTATCATACAGACATTGTTTTCATTGCTTAGAAAATTCTGTGCTTTCCCTATTTATCCTTCTTTCCCCCAACCCCTGGAAACCACTGGTGTTTTTATTGTCTATGTAGAGTCATATAGTTAGAATCATAGAGTATGTTGCTTTTGCAGATTGGCTTCTTTTACTTAGCAATATACATTTACTGTTCTTCATGCCTTTTTATGGCTTAATAGAGCATATTTTAAATCACTGAACAATGTTTCATTATCTGGTTGTACCACAGTTTATTAACTCCTTTACCTACAAAAGGACATCTTGGTTACTTCTAAGCTTTTGGCAATTATTATGAATAAAGCTGCCATAAACATCCATGTGCAGATTTTTGTGTGGACCTAAATTTTCAGCTCCTTTGGGTAAATACCAAGGAGCATGATTGCTGAATGGTATGGTGAGAGTATACTTAGTTTTTGTAAGAAACCGTGAGATTAGCTTCCAGAGTTTGCGCCAGCAATGCGTGAGAGTTCCTGTTGCTCCACATCCTTGCTACATGTTTACATCGTCCTGGTTCCTCAAGTTTATAAGGGCCACATTTCATTGCACCGTTGGCTGTAGCTGCGCAGCGTTAAAAGCACTGGGGGGAGGGGATCTAACCCTTGCCTATCCCCTCTCCGCCCCAGACTTTGCCCTGGCCTCTGTGCCAGGTCCCCGTTTCTAATCCCCTGCTCTGTCCCTGCTCCTGTGCTCTGCCTCTCTGAGAGGGCTCATCTCCTTCACTCTCCTCTTCAGAAAACGATGCCCAGAATGTGCTCAAATGGGGTTTCTTAGCTCGCACTCGCCAGATCTCATTAATTTTACTGATATCTTTTCCCCCTATTTTTAAAATTAAGGTATTATATGTGTACATATCTTAACCCATTGCCCCCACCCCCACCCCACTCCCATACATGCCCTCACCTCCCAGTGTTTTACGTCCATTGGTTATGCTCATATGCATGCATACAAGTCCTTCGGTTGATCTCTTATCTCCCCCACCTCTCCTTAACCTTCCTGCTGTAATTTGAAAGTCTGCTTGATGCTTTACTGCCTCTGTATCTTATGGTTCATAGGTTTATAATGTTCTTTATTATCCACAAATGAGCGAGATCATGTGGTGTTTTTCTTTCATTGACTGGCTTATTTCACTTAGCATAATGCTCTCCAGTTCCATCCAGGTTGCTGCAAATGGTAAGAATTCCTTCTTTTATATGGTAGCATAGTATTCCATTGTGTTGATGTACCATAGTTTTTTGATCCAGACATCTGCTGACCGGCAACTAGGCTGTTTCCAAATCTTAGCTATTTTTTTGACATCTTATTTCTACTCAACTGTTCTCTCTCGTACTCTTCTCTGGTGTTTCAGAGTCCCTGGAGGGTCTCTCATTGGCTCACTGGCACTGTGGCTCACTGTGGGCTATTTACTTTCCTGTGTGTATATTGTGCCTCTTTACCTCTATGTCTGGAGTGTATGCTCTTTAGGGGCAACACATGTTTGAGTCAATTTCACATCCTGTGGCAGATCTGTCATTGTTCCCTCTGATAGGCCCTTGGGCCTCATCATTGCTGTATTCTCCTACTTACTTCTCCACGCCAATGTCTGCATCTTTGTGCCTGAGCACTTCCCCTGTCTCCTGAGTCCACTGCCCTGGTGCAGAACCGGCTGAAATGCTGGGAATGGTGACTGTAAGAAGTGGTGTGTGTATATTCTTTCAAATGAGTGCTTTCAGTGCCTTGGGATAAATTCCCAGAAGTGGAAATCACTGGGTCATAAAGCAGTTCCATTTTTAATTTTTTGAGGTAACTCCATACTGCTTTCCACAGTGGCTGCACCAATTTGCAGTCCCACCAACAGTACATGAGGGTTCCGCTTTCTCCACATCCTCACCCACACTTGTTGTTTGTTGATTTGTTGATGACAGCCATTCTGACACCCCTATGCTCATTGTAGCATTATTTACAACAGTCAAGATTTGGAAGCATCCCAAGTGTCCATCAGTAGATGAGTGGATAAAAAAAGCGATGGCACATTTATACAATGGAATACTACTTGGCCATAAAAAAGAAGGAAATCTTACCTTTTGTGACAGCATGGATGGACCTGGAGAGCACTATGCTAAGTGAAATAAGCCAGTCAGAGAAAGACAAGTACCATATTATTTCACTCACATGTGGAATCTAATGAACAAAATACACTAACAAACAAAATGGAAACAGACTCATAGACAGAGAACAGATTGACAGCTGTCAGAGGGAACGGGGATTGGGGGCTGGGTGAGAAGGGTGAAAGGATTTAGCAACAAGAACAACAACCTCCCCCTTCCCCAAACCCCCTTACAACTCATAGACACAGACAACAGCATGGTGATTACTAGAGAGAAAGGGGGTGTGGGGAAGTTGAAGAGGGTATGGGCAGATAACCGGTAATAGAAGAGGACTTGACTTGTGATGGTGAATACACAATACAATATACAGATGATGTATTTTAGAATTGCACACCTGAAACCATCTCATCTTATTAACCAATATCAACCCAATAAATGAAAAAAAAAAGTGGTGTATAAATGACCGGATCCCTCCCTTCCTGGCAGGAGTAGCTAGCTCTGTGGATTCACTCTGCCCAAGTGATGGTAACTTAATCGATAACCCTCCCTTGGCTGTCTTGCCCTCTCTGTCCCACACTCACCACTCCTCTGGTGGGTTTCCTCTCAAGGCACTTCCTCTGGAGTCCTTACTGAGGGTCTGGGGAAAGTTAGGCACATGCCACTTACCCAGCAGAGCATTGGCTCACAGGAAATGCTTAGAAGATAATGGTTGAAAAATGCACGGATACTTCTAGCATACTCATATTAGTCTCTAAAATAGAACAGACTGACGATTCTTTTCTCCATCTGTCTTGTCTCAAATTCTGGTTGCCCTGTGGACTCAGGCCAGCGTCTGCCTGCCCCCATGGAAGGGATACACCCTGCTCCTCCCCTCGTCCTCACTGCCCCTCTTTCTGTCTCCTCATACACAGTGGGCTTTTCAGAAGAATGACTCTCTCTGTGTGTGCATCTTGCTTGCTGGTGCCCAGTATAGTGTGAATGAACATGGGTTTTACTTCTGCTTCCAATATATTGATTCCACATTTGTATTTTTAAAAAATAAGATCATGTAGGTTTCAAGTAACCATTTCAAATGTACTCATCTCTTTAAAAAATGGCCGGGACCGGTTTGGCTCAATGGATAGAGCGTCGGCTTGGGGACTGAAGGGTCCCGGGTTCGATTCTGGTCAAGGGCATGTACCTTGGCTGCAGGCAGATCCCCAATAGGTGGTGTGCAAGAGGCAGCTGATCGATGACTCTCTCTCATCGATGTTTCTAACTCTCTATCTCTCTCCCTTCCTCTCTATACAAAAATCAATAAAATACATTTAAAAAAAATATTTTTAGTGATTCCAGAGAGGAAAGGTGAGGGAGAGAGAGATAGAAACATCAATGATTAGGAGAGAATCATTGATCAGCTGCCTCCTTCACTCCCTGCACTGGGGACCGAGCCTGCAACCAGGGCATGTGCCCTAACTAGGAATCGAACCATGACCTCCTGGTTCATAGAGCCACAAATCACTGAGCACCACTGGCCAGACATGCATTTGTATTTTAACATTGCCAATTCCCAACTTCTTCTGGCTAGGAAGGTCCCCCTAAGTGTCCCTCTCCCCCTATCCCCCAGTCTTTTGTTAGAAGGGAGAAATCTTTCTGTAAGTGTGGGTTCAGAAAGAGACCAAAGCTTAGTTTAGAACAGTGGTTCCCAACCCAGGCTGAATGTTAGAAAAATCATAGGAAACATAAAAATACCAATTCCGGGCCTCCCCACACACCAGCTTAGTGGTGATCTCTGAGCACAGGGCTGGCTTTAGGCTTTCTTACCACCTTTGCGGGGGATCCTATTGCAGAGCTAAGGCTGATACCACTGATCGGCAGCTGGAACTCCCATTGTTCCCTTCAGGCACCCCTGCTTTGGACCAGTGGGGGGTAAACCCAACAGGGATGTGCTGGCCAAAAGGACCCATTTTGCTGAGATTCGGGGCGAACTAAAGATCCCGAGGATTCTTATCGTCTATAAAAATGTCAACCCCACTGCCATCAGAACTGGGCCGGTCCTCCAGGGGCCCAGCCCAGCTCCCTCCCAGATTGGGCAGCTGGAGTGCTGTTCCTGTTGAGTTCTCCCGCCTGCAGTGAACAATGTGCCGTATGCGCGTTCCTGTAGGCCTGAGGCCTCCTGCCCAGAGAGTTCCAGCTGGTGGTGGCTTCAGATGGAGGCAGACAAAGCCATCAGCTGATAGCCTGGCCACCCACCTGAGTCCTTTCCTGCCGGCTCCGTTCCAGTGCCCTCCAGGCCACCCATTCTCCAATTCTGTTTCTTCTCATATTTCCCCCGTGTCCCTGCTTCTCTCCTGCTATTTTCCACCGTCCTCTTTGCTTTTTCTGCTCACTGTGCCTTGGAACCATGCGGCGGCCGCCTCCTCTCACAGCTTCGTTTGCAAAGTGTGGGCCCCTTGTCTAGGATCCAGCGTGGGAAGAGAAAAGGAGTGGAGAGAGGGGGCTTCCAGGGGAGGGTGCACACCGCCTGGGTGTTCCAGGTCTGGGTTTTAAATGGTCCCCGGATGTTTTTGCACACGGATGCTTTGTGTTTCAGCTCCCCCCAGTGCCTTTCAGGGAGGTTTCTGGGCCTGGGAGAAGGCGTTGTTTACATGGGTCTCAGCTCCTTGGGTGCTGTCCCTGGGGGGTGAGGCATGTGGGCCTGTGTGACTCGCTTCAGGGCTGTCTCTCTGCTGTCCCCGCAGGATTGCGATGTGCTGGTCCTAGCTACTGTCTGAGAGGATGTCTGGGGTGTCCCAGCCCCTGAGCCGAGTAAAGGTGGGCACGCTATGTCGGCCGGAAGGCCCCCCAGAGCCCATGGTGGTGGTGCCAGTAGATGTGGAAAAGGAAGACGTGAGGATCCTCAAGGTCTGCTTCTATAGCAACAGCTTCAACTCTGGGAAGAACTTCAAACTGGTTAAATGCACTGTGCACACCGAGATCCGGGTGAGTGTGGCAGGCGGTGCCTGCTCCGTCCGTTTGTCTGTCTCTCCCCATCCTTTAGAGCAGCTGAATGGCCCTCCTTCAGCCTAGCAGCCTCTCCGGTAGCCACACTGGGCTGGGGGCACCAACGGAGAAGTTCTCAGCCTGCAGAGCCAGGCCTCCTCTCAAGGCGTCTGCAACCTACCTCTCTAGTAGCCTGGGGGACAGGCTTTATAGCTTTCGTTAGAACCCCAGATCATTTGCTTGGTCTTTGATTCAACTCATTACCATATATGACAGTTGAGTTTCTGCAAGAGACATAAGAGCCCCACCCTCCAAGAGTTTACACTCAGATGGAGTTGGAATTAGAGAGATACACAAGTGATGGAATTGAAAATAGAACAGAAATGGTACAAGCCGTGTCCTGGGTGCTCAGATACAGGAGCTGGTGGGGGCATTGAGAGGGTGATAATGAATTAGAGATGCCCTAGAACAGGTGAGTGGTTGGCAGACCCTTTCTGAGGCAATACTTCAAGTGATCGGCTCATTCTCATCCCGGGCCACGGGAACTGTTTTGCAAGTCCAGGTGCCCACCGTCATCAGGACACCTGAACTGGCACCAGGAAACCAGTTCAGCTTCAGCTCAACCACACGTATAAGAACTTGTCATCAGAAACAGAGTTACAATACAGTGATTGATTTAAATGCCTACATTTATTGGACAATTACCATGTACTGCCTGGATCAATTCCTCTACAAACATTATCGCACCGAATCTTCCCAATGATCCATGAAGTAGATACAATGAGGATATCCCTTTTTGCTGCCCAGAATATTCCTTTCTGACGATGCAAAAGAAAGCCAAATTGGTTCTCCAAAGGCTGCTGGCTGGGATGCTTCCTTGAACAAAGGAAGCAAGGGACTTTTGGGAAAACTAACCAGGTCTGAGAAAGCTGGATGAATCCTCTCCAATCTTCTCATTACCAATCCTTCCCCTGTCCTACAAATCAGCATCCCCCAGGCTCAGTGAGTGTCTCTTTGGATTGGTGCTGGCAGCACAGAACCACTGCACATCTGTCTGCTTGGCTGCCTTCCATCTATTACAGCACATACTATGCTTCAACACACCAGAGCAGAATGTAATTGATTAGATCACTGCCTTGGCCAGTTATTACAATTGATTATGGTTTGGTTACTCTCTCTGTTTCCTGTAACTGATTGGATTAGGGCCTTCTTTGCTCATCTCATGGTTCCGGATATATAGGTACAACTGTGTCCTTAGAGTAAGCAAGCTCTGGGCACCTTCTTCCAGAGGGATGTTTTTGTATCTCCTTAACTCCTTCTTGAGCCTTCCTTTGGGTGTATCGTCTTTACAGATAGCTGATGCCATCCGCTGTGGGTCCTACTGGTGTAATTTTCAGAAGTCAACCTGACCTTCAAATTTCAGGGCACCTTCCTGACCTTCTCCTGAAAACTAGAGAGCATCTGGATGGTCCAGACCAGAATGTGTTCTGTGGAGTTGATGCAAAGGGTCCGGAAGGATAGGCAGATTTGAAGCCAGCTCTGAGGAGAGCAGAGGGCTTTCCACGAGGCAGGAACAGCAAGAACAAAGGCAGGGAGGCTGCTAAACAGTGAGTAGTTCTGTTAGACTGGAACGTGGGTTATATTTAGAAAAGTGTGTAAAGTCAAGATCAGAAATGAAATGTTGATGGTAGATAAGAAAGGGTCTGGAATATCAGGCTGAGGAATTGGACTTGTTCAGGCACTAGGAAGAAACACAGTTTTTAAGCAGGGGAGAGACTTTCCTGAACCTGTCTGATGTCTTGCTGGGCAATGAGACCCAAAGAGAAGAATGGCTAGCACCTGAGGCACTATCAGGAGGGTTATGAGAAAAGAGATGGAAAACAAAGAAAGGTGTGGAGCCTTCTAAGAATTTATGTTCAAGCCTTCTTGTTTTTCCTGTTTCCAATTCTGCAGGCAAAATACCACTTGTTTATTACAAGTAGCCATGGCTTTAAAGCCACCTAGACCTTGAGCCAAATACTGCTCTCTATTTATTGTTTATATGGCCTTACACCCAATTCTTAGCCAATCTGGCTTCAGTTTCCTCATTGGGGATTGTGCCCACCTGTAGCTTGTTGTAAGGATTAGAGATGGCAAGTGAGAAGCGCTTACATATAGTAGGAGCTCAATCATTGGAAGCCATTGATTATGTGGGTATTAGTTGTTACCCTGCTCAGCAATCTCTAAGAGTTTTTTTCTGGCCTTTATCCACTTACCTGTCATATTTTCAAATAGAGAAGAAAGATGATCAGACTTGTAGTATCCTGAAGGATATTAGAAAGTGTGTCCTGGAAAAGGAGTTTTATGGTCAAAGAATTTTGAGAGATGCTTGATTAAACAATCCTGAATGGACTTCTTTGCAACAAGACTTATCAGAACATTAAATATGCTGATATGCATGGTGGATCACTAAGAAAGGACCACGGAGGGGCTGTTTGCTTAAGCCATTTCTTAATTGCCAAAGAACCCCTTCTTTTAAAAGTAAGGCCACTAGCCGAAACCGGTTTGGCTCAGTGGATAGAGCGTCGGTCTGTGGACTGAAAGGTCCCGGATTCTGGTCAAGGGCATGTACATTGGTTGTGGGCACATCCCCAGTAGGGGGTATGCAAGAGGCAGCTGGTCGATGTTTCTCTCTCATCGATGTTTCTAACTCTCTTTCCCTCTTCCTTCCTCTCTGTGGAAAATCAATAAAATATATTAAAAAAAAAAAAAAGTTGGGCCACTAGTTCCCTGGAAAAGTAATTTAGGAATCTATTTTCCCTAAACTTTGATAGCAGTACAAAAAGGCAGGAGAGAGGAAAGGCTGGTGAAAGGGAATGGAGTTAGGAAGCTGTGGCCACAGTGCTAGTGAGAAATGACAAGGCCTTGAAGTAAGGAAGTGGTTTTGGGAACAGAGACGAGTCCATCTAAGGAGGCAGAATCAACAGAATTTGATGATTAACTAGATGTAGGGAGGTAGATAAAGATAGGAGACTGGATGACTCAAGCTTTTGCCTCGGCAACTGAATGGGTGATGGTACCATTCATTGAGCTAACAGAGAAAGGGTATTCCAAGATTTCAGCTTTAACATGTGTTGTGTTTATTAAAAACACCTTCATGGAGGAAAGTGGACCTGGAGTTCAGGAGGGAGAAAGGACCTACAGTTGAAGATTCAAAAGTCATTAAGCAATGGATACCACATGAATGGATAGAATCACCCACAGATAGTAAGTAGAGTAAGAGAAAAAGTGTTTTAATTAGGAAATCTTTTTTTTTTTTTTTTTTTTTAGAGGCTGGTAGAGAAGGAGGAACAGGTGAAGGAAAAAGAGAAATCATCCAGAGAAAGATAAAAATAAACAAAAGAACAGGCAGGGGAGGCAAAGGTAGAAGAAAATTTGAGGAAAGAGTGGTTAGTAGTATCAGACACTCAGAAAGGTCAAATCAAATAAGGCTAAAAATAGGTTTACTTGATTCAGTAACAAGTGCAATAATGCCTTTTTGCTAGACATCTTCAGTAGAGAGATGGGGCGAAAGACACTGTGCATTCAGAGAAACAATGGGTATAAGCAACATTGCAGAGTTTTACCAGTAGAAGGTCCTGAAGTGGTAAGGCACAGGGCATATTTGAGGCTAGAGAATTGCCAAGATTGGGTATTTAAACCACGATTTTGGATTTTGTGGGAAGTCACTGATATCGTTAAGCATATGAATGATGTCAGGTTGTATTTTTAAAAGATCACTTTGGTCACATCATGGCAAATAGATTGGAAGAAGACCAGAATGGATGTGGGGAGATGTTAGGTGGTATTGCAGTAATTCAGATGATGGTATCTTAGATTGGGATATAGCCATGGTAATGATAATGATGGTAATAATGATGTTTATGATGGTGTTGATGGTGATGGTGGTCATGGTGGTGACAACGGTGAGATGTAGTGATGAGGATTGATGATGAGGTGGTGGTGGTGATGATGATGGTGATGATGATGGTCAAGGTGGTGGTGGTGATGACAGCAGCTAGCACTTTGAAGCACAGCTTATGCATTATCCTATTGATTTTTTTAAAAAAACACAAAAAACCCTATGAAGCACATACTGTTATTATTATCTCCATTTTGTATACAAGGAAATAAGGTCCAGAGGAGTTAAGCAAATTCCTAGTTAAGTGCTAGGACCTGTTTTTTCAAAGCCAGTCAACCCACCTCCAGAGTCTGCACTCTTAACCACCATGGTGTACGGAGAGAAGTAATTTTAATGCAGGTAATCCAGGAGAATAGAAATGAATGGTTTTGCTGATGGACAAGAGATACAAGAATGAAGAAGAAGGAGGTGTCAAGACTGGAAGCCCTGGTACAGGTGGACAGGGCCCCATTTCCTAAAATGAAGAACACTTCAGGAGAAACTAATTGGAGAGTGGGGCGTTCACAAGTTCAGTTTTGGACCCATCAGTGCCATTGAGATGCTCTCATATTTTCATGTGAAAATATTGAGTAGACTCTTTGATACATGATTCTTGAGGCAAGAACTGGGCCAGAGACAGACATTTGAGTGTTGTCAGCCTCTGCAGAGTGGTTGAAGCCATGGCTGTGGATGAGATCACTTATGAACGAGTCCCGAATAATATCATCATTCATTTCACAAGTATTTGTTGAGTGCCCCATGTACCGACACTGTGCTTGTTATGATATACCCCAAAACACAGATGCACTCCCTGCTTTCACGGAGTGTCCAGGCCAAAGGTGAGCCCGACAGTGACTCACACTAATGAATGAACCTTTACAACAAGTGGAGGCAAGTGCTCTCACAGGAAGAAAGAGGTTCTGTGAGAGGAGAGAGTACAGAAGAGCTCGGCCCAAACGTAGAGGAACAGCTTTGCTATTCAAGGGCTCATTGTGGATGCTGCATCCAGGCCTAGAGGTCCATTCCCAGCTTCCCCGCCTGAGGCTCTCCTCCTAGGGTGGCCCCTCCCACCCCTGCTTCC